GACATTCTCCAGATTCTTTAGGGAATAGTTCTGCAATTAGGGAATTGATTTGCTTTCTCTATTGCTCCTTTTTCTAGTTGTTTTACAAAGATAACAGGCTGCTTCCAGTAGCTCGCTATAAAGTGCTTTCCAGCTAATGCTTCCCAACAAAGCAAACATAAAAAACTAACAATTAACAGATCATTAGAACAGCTGACGATGAATCTTCTGGTGATTCTGAATTTATTTAAACGAATCAATATTACATTTGTATTATATACATACATTATTTATTTACATAGAGGAAAGTCTGGAGGGGGAGTTCAGGACTCTTTACATATTAATACATTTTTAATCTTTGCAGGTGGAGGAGTTGAGGGACAAGGCTCCTGTGATCTCTGACAAACCACTGACACCTGCTGAAGTCCTTCAGGTGAGCACCCACTGTTATTTATCTGTCCCACAGAAACCAGTAAGGGATTTACTGCATCAGAATCCAGTTAGTTCTTCCTGGCTCTGATCTTCCTGACGTGCTAATCTCTCACAGTAGCTATTCCAGGGGACATTAAGCACTCAAATACAATGGGTTATGTATAGAGACCAGTTGGGAATCTGTTTAGTTATCTATGCAGAATAAATATGTAAGAAATATGTTTTGACAGTCGCACTCACAAATACAGAAAGTGTTGGCCATATAAGAACTGATCATCAGCAAGTTACTGTGTGAGGATTTAAAAATAGCTGATAAATATAGACCTGTCAGTGTCACGCAGGCTTCTAAGTGAATTTCTTTTTTATATAAACCAACCATCATTTTCTTTTAAAGAGACATCAAATAACATTTAAAGTCTGTTGCCATGGTTTTTCTGAAAAAGTAATTTATTCACTCTTCCTCACTCAATTGTTTATCCCACTGACACTTGGCTTTTTTTTCCTTTAAGACAACTGGGACACTGTAACTGTCATAGATTTTTTTCCTTTCCATCAAATGTCCATTCCTCATATAAGGGTGTGTTTTTTCTTAGGTTGAAGTTTTTTCTCAAGACTTAAATTGGTCAAATACATTTTTAAATACTAAAACGTGATTTTCTGTCAAGTAGCATCTAAATTCTGTCCTGAGAGACATGAGGGTTTGTTACCTTTTGATTAAGGAGGATACTGACATTTTGATCTAAGGAGCCTTTAGGCACTAGGTCTGTTTGGGTAGCACTAACTCAAAGTATTCCAATATTAAAATTGAAATAAATCCATCTCTGACTGTTTTTCAAAGTGAAATTCTGGATGTTGTGGTTAAACTAAGCCACATGACGTCTCTCCCGCAGGCTAAAGCAGCGACAGAGGTTTCCCAGAAGAGCAAGATGAGTGCCAACGGTGTGTAAAGACGAGCAGGAGCCTCTGGACTGAAGGAGAGTGGGACTTGCTCAGACCCGTATCCTCAGGGAGGGGGAGTGACTGTGCCATTAACGATTTATATTTCAGCAGACCTCAATTAATTTAAAGCTCCTCTGTTAAATACCTCTCATTCAACAACTATCTCTGACATTTGGAAACAGCAGATGAAACAACTCATCCAGGAGTCACATTGGCTTCTCGTCCCTCTCACTGTTAACACCAGGAAATGGCTGCTTTGCCTCAGCAGCGGCTTCTTCATACCCTCAACCTTCTATTTTCACTTTTGTGCACTCCGTTCTCTGTAACTGTCCATAAGGGACAAACCAGCCTATAATTTGACTGGACTCAGAGCCCACTGATGAGTTTGTTTGACCTAATGTCCAAGAAGGGATGTTCAAACTGCCCATGGCTGATCCTGGTCAGTCTTCTCCTTACAGTCTAGATGGTCTCCTCTTCCTCCTCTTCCTCCTCCTCCTGTAAATTTGTAAATATCTTGTATATTTCCCCCGTCTTACATCGCAGCAGCTGGAGCTTTGTACAGTTTGCTACGAAAAGGTCTGTCTCTTGAAAATGTTTGGACAGTTTTTTTTTTTCTTTTAGCAGTTTTACGTTTTTATTTGCAATTTTAACTCCTGTTCAGGACGAAAGAGAAGTTACCCAGGTTCTGCTGAACATTTCGGTTTAGTAGCTGTGTCCCAATTTCATGCTGAAGTAGACGCTAAAAGACGGCATATTCTGAACCTGTATCTGTTCAGGCAGAATGTCATAATCTCATTTAGTCAGCAGGTGGAGTAGCTGGTGCGGACTGGCCCTGCCTCTGAACACAGTGACATAGTTTAGTTTCTTGCTGCTTTAATTAGCAAATGAAGACCGGGATGTTATAAATAGAAGGGTCACTCCTTGAACTCAATGGTGACTGTGGTAAAGTGAAGTCTGCTCCCACTGATAAACCACTGACCGGACAATCTGTCAAAAAAAACAAAAAATGTCACGTTTTATTTGAATATATGGATTGTGTTTTAATGTTATGAAGCTAAGATTTCTCTAATCTAAAAAGAGCAAATGCTTGATGTTATCCATAAAGATAAACTACTAACGTGGGGGACAAGCTCAAACCCTGAAGCCACACATGAGATTGTTATTTTTGTTATTGTGGGACTAAAAGAGTTCAATGTGTAGCGTTATGACTGATTGACCCGACTGTCCTCCTTCATTAAGCTGTAATGAATACACTATATGACCCTACAGGATTTATTGGAAGGTTTACTGCATAGATGTGTACTGTACAGAACCAGTTAAGTGTGTGTTTTGTAACCCACTCATACCCTTCATACATCTGACATTGGAGAAACTAATTTCATCGCAGCCTGATGAAGGTTTGTCTCCACCATTTTTGCTCATTGCTATTTATCCATAGGCACCTCCCACAGGTGGAGGCCATAAATGAAAGGATATATTTTAAGCACACTGATGACAAATGAAGATTTAAATTATTGGTTTTACATATGTGCCTAAGGTTAGAGGGCGATTGGGCTGATGTTTGCATTTTTCATCACAGAACCGATTTTCTCTATTTTGTCAGTTTGCACTTTGATCATTCACCTCAGTGAGTTTAAAAACGCCCAGTTGCACATTTTTTCTTTAGTGGTAAGTCTCCTTTTCCCATTTGATCCAAGTTTAAATCCAAATCCAAATAATTTCCTTATCATCACCAGTGTTGATGCTGATGGAAAAACGATCACATTTTCAGCCAGCTATCCACTCGTGGTGTAAAGGAGATTAAGAAAATACATTTAAAAAGAAAAAAGACTAGTTGCTTTATCTTTGTGTTTTCTGGATTCTGATTACTCCCAATGCTTCTAGTGGATGTGAACTGATTCATGCAGCTTTTATATGGCATTTTTCTTTAGAAACAAATTGTGCTTTTTAAAGGGTGACTTATCACCAGGCTGAAAAGCAATTTTTTCCCCCTCAACATATTCTCTGGTTGACCAACCAGCCAGCAGCACTCAGTGCATTTTACATCCATCTGTTTTTATTGTGGTCATAAAAACAAACCTGTAACTAAACCAGTGAAGTCCCAGTGATCTGAAGGGGGGAAAAAACACAATTTTCCGCAGGTTTTGAGATATTCTGAAACTGCACGTCGCCGACCTGTTGAGAAAGACTTCTCATGTTGTTGATCTGGAAATGTTCCTGATTTGTTTGATGGCTGCAGTACTGTGTACTGCCTGATTAAAAGATTGTGCTGCAAAGAAGCCTCGAGAATTACTCTGTTTCATATTTTTGCTTCAAAACCTATTCTGAAAAATTCTTACAGCAGGTATTGGACAGGATGTATTCTTATACAACTCATCTACTTCTAAATAACATCACTTACTTTGTCAACTAATGGAAAACTGTTTCCTTTTCATTCATTAGCATCATATTGTTTGTTAATGCAAACTGTTTTGAGCTGCTATCACAGATGGTTCCACACATCACCACACATAGAACACAACACTAAACTTTTGACAGTTGTTAGTATTCATATTACAATCTTAAATGTTAAAGTCTGATTCATTTATAAAATATGCCTTGATTACAAAACAGCATGACCTTGACCAATCCAATTTCAAACCAGTTACAAAGCTCTGATAACATACTTACAGGGCCATTTGTTGATAATACTTCTCTTCTTGTAATGGGAGTATTTTTACTACATGTTGCTGCTACTTTAACTTAATAAGTATCTTGCAGATACTTTATCCACTGAAGGGGCGGGGGGGAGGACTGTTTTTGAACAACGTGATCTAAAGAAAGAAACAGCACCGACAGAACAAGGTCAGTATGTAAGCATGTGTTTATGAGTATTCATTGTTTGGATATTTGTCATATACACAACTTTAATCAGGGAAACTTTCTTCTGAAAATAGTTTCACTTACATTAAAACCCTTACTGTTTTTTAATTTTTTTTATGAATATGACTTTCTCTTAAAAATCTACCTTCAGCCATAATGACATCATGCATACACACTACTTACTGTGTTTCTTTCGGTGGTCAGAGGCGTTTAAAGCACAAAGCCTTGAAAACAACATGTATCACAAATACTTTGCTGTCTGCACTTTGCTCAGTCAGAAGAGTCTGTGCTATTTTAAACCCATCAGTGATTTCAGACCCGCTGCTTCATATTGAACCCATTGGCTAAAACAGGTGCTGCATGATTTAGTTAGATGTGTCAGAGCTTGAACAAATGGTCATATAATTGATTAGTTGATAGAGAGAAAGTAGATTTTAATAATCAAAATAACTTTTTGTCATATGTGATAGTTTACTGTGCCATGGGAAGTTTGTGTGTCTTTTTCCCCACTGCTTGATCTTATTTTATAGGCCTAATGAATAATCAAGAAAATTCAGATTGTCTTGCATTTAATAGAGTTGTTGTAATGCATTAAATTAAAAAAATCTTCTAATAAAGTGCATACAGTGTGTGTCTGCTTAGCAGTTAAGTAGAAATGTGAAAATTTAAAATTTTTCCATGATAGCTCTTCAGAAAGAGACAATGCTTTTTAATGATGTAATTATTTTTCCTTCATATTTTCACTGTAGTCTTTACATCTATTTCCCTGCCTCCTCTGCAGTGCAAACATGAAACTGACTGTAAAGGCTGCATTGTCCCTCTTCCTTCTTTTCAACATTAATTTTTCAATGGCCAAGAAAAGAATAGAACTTAATCTGTTTAAGAAGATCCCCAAAACAAAATGTGGCCACCAAGTTCAAGAATAAACAACAGTTCAACCAAGGAGGTTACCCCCAGCAGCCAGGCAGACCTGGAGGTTATCCTTACCAAGGAGGTTACCCCCAGCAGCCAGGATACCCAGCAGGAGGTAATCCAGCTGGTGGTTACCCTGATCAGGGTTACCCATATGGAGGAGTTTATGGAGGGTATCCAGGTGGATACATGAACTACAACCCAAACCACAAAATCCTGAGCCCTTACTATGGAGGCAGCTTTGGATTTGGGGGCCATGGCATTGGGGGTGGCTCTCCCTTCTCCCAGTCAGTTCAGGCAATGGGTGTTTATCCCAAGAGAAATCCAGGGGGTTTGGGCGCAGCGCAGTGATGGCAGCAGCTGGAGGTGCCATGGCAGGAATGCCCCTGGGCTACGGGCTGGGGAGGTTCCCTCGTCCTCACTTCCACTTCCACAGCCCCCAGGAGGAGTACTACTACAACCACTACATGTACAGGAAATATGGTGCCAGGTCTACTGATGCTGATGACTATGGCCGAGACTACAGGTACAGCAAACCCCCTGAGACAGCTTCATGGACTCGTTCATGAAGAGAACAGACCTTCTGCCGGTTAAGAATCAAAAGCCAAAACTCAACCCAGCTGCCACAACCACCACAACAGCTACTTCCACAGCAGATGATCTAATACTGTTAGCTCCATCTAAAGAGGCATTACAACAGCAACTAGATCATCTGCAAAACTTCTGTGAGACCTGGGCCCTGACAGTTAATCTAGAAAAGACAAGAATAATGGTCTTCCAGAAATGACCCAGATGTCAGGGAAACCCAAACAAGTTCTTACTGGGCTCCGCTGACATTGAACACACACATAACTACACATATTGAGGACTCAAAATTAGCTCTACAGGAAATTTTAATCTGGCCGTTAATGATCTGAGAGACAAGGGAAGAAGAGCTTTTTACGCCTTAAAAAAGTCTTCAATCATTGATATACCCGTTAGAATCTGGCTCAAAATATTCCACTCTATAATTGAACCTATTTTACTGTATGGTAGTGAAGTATGGGGCCCTCTTATAAATCAAGACTTTGAAAAATGGGACAAACACCCAATCGAAAGCCTGCATACTGAGATTTGTAAGAGCATTCTCAGAGTCCAGAGGAACGCCCCCAACAATGGATGTCGAGCTGAATTAGGACAATTTCCCCTTTTAATTCGGATGCAAAAAAGAGCCATCAAATTCTACCAACACCTCAAAGCCAGCGAGCCCAGCTCCTACCACTACAAAGCCCTGCATTACCAAGAGGAGAGCAAAGAAAGGAGTCCCCTCAGCCAGCTGGTCCACCGGCTCAGCTCCAACAGCACAGGGCACCAAGACCGCCCTCACACATTCAAGCCCCACCAAATTATAATTAAAGAAAAAGACAATTACATCAACTATTTGACATCTGCAACCAAAACCCAAAGCAAACTCCAATGCTATTTGTCCCTAAACAGAAAATACTCCATGGCAGATTATCTGAGCTCTGTAGCCGACCCCAGACTGAGGAAAACATTGACTATGTACAGACTCAGCAACCACAGCCTGGCCTTAGAGAGAGGCCGACACAGACAGACGTGGCTGCCCAGAGAGGAGCGGCTGTGTCTGCTCTGTCCACACAGACAGGTAGAGACAGAGCAGCACTTCCTGCTGCACTGTGACGCATACACAGACATCAGAGCACAGTTCTACACGAACTTTACACACACAACCCCAAATTTTGACAAACTCTCAGACCAAGAAAAACTACCACTACTATCATCTACTGGGAGAAAAAAGAGCCACTGCTGTAGAAGCAGTAAAATATGTGAGTGTCTGTCACAGGAGAAGAGAAAAGCTGCACAACAACCTACTCACTGATGAACATACTGATCATTAGATAGATACTGTTCTGTAATAATTACCTCTGTATGATACACACCTTTTTTTTAAATTGATGTATAGTGTGGTTTTATTGATGTATAGTTTAGTTTTGTTGATATATAGTGTACTTTTGTTGATGTATAGTGTAGTTTGTTGATGTATAGT